GAATATACTGTCTGTACTTTGAATTAACAGTATTTGATGTTTAAAAATCTTACCTTATTACCCAAATAAAAAAATTATACCAGAAAGAAAGAAAGTGAGTAAGTACGTCCATTATGTTTCTTTTACATGCCTGATGTAACAGAAAAACAATTCTTATATACCTGAAGTGACATATCAAACAATTGGCAACACTGAATTAAGTTCTCTGCATGTGTCAACAGTACTATTGAAGTCTTATTTCTCTTAAACCAAATTTGTGAACAAGAAGGTCCTCAGAAGGCATAACCTTTTATAGTTATAACCCTGTGTTGAATTCTGATTAGCTTTCAGCACTTTCAATGATTGCTTATTTTTGCAACCCAATATCTTACCAGTAATACCAGTACGCAGCAAACACATTCTCATCAACAAGAAATGGCTAGTCAGAATTTGTACTAATTCCATTTCACAGCTTCATAGAGTTAATGCAATATGGGTAGCTACATCAGTTTGTTTCAAAGCCAAAAGCAAAAAAGCTAAAACTGGGGTGGATTTTCCAATTTTAAAAATAACCTCACCACTGAATATTGCTGCCCTCTTGGCTCTGACACCATATAGCTTGGTAGATAGGTTCCTCCAAAATGTCAGTACCCATCTACCAAGCTACACTGTGTCATAACTAGAACATAATAACCTTCAGTCATTGCTGTAAGAACTTGAAATCTCACCTTATCAGTCATTTTCTGAAAATGCAACTGTCATATAACCTAAACACATCATAATTTTAAAACTTCTTCATCTTACCACATCTACAAACAGAATTTTCATTAATAATATGAATATGAAGATAAGGTTATTTATATGATACATTTTCTTGATGAAACAACATTAATAGTCTTTACTGTCAATTGTACCTGAATATGAAAGTCAACATCAAAGTTAAAAAAATGTAAGCAATCAAAGTGGCAGTATTTACTACATTATGTAATTTATGGACAAGCAAATAAAAAAAAAAGAATTTTATATGCTGTCAAGTCCAGTTTAGGATATGACATTTCAACTTTGTCAAAATAAAATGACCTACAACAGCATTTGGCATGATATTTCCAAACAAAGGTTTGGAAGAAAGGGGGAAAAAAACATGAAATACAAATATATTCTGTTTACATAGCTGCTGAATATGATGTAGGTCAATCCAGTTCCCTCCAGTAATTTATCATTAGTTCCTGGCACTGTCTGTCAGGTTTAGAATAGCTATTACAGTCAATAATTTTAAGTAGTGTATATTGTTCCCAAATATAATAATATCTGCCTGCTTAGTCCACAATTTATTGCTGACAAAAACAATATAAACACCCATAAAATTTCATGTGTATTACTTCTACTGATGCCTAAATATTCACACTGGAGAATCGTAGGATTTTGTCTATGGGAAAGGGAAGGCAAAAGGAAAATTCAAAATATGCAGGCCTGATTGCAAACTAGAAGTTCCCCTTACAATAAGCACACTCTATAAATGTTTCAAATGTAGCTCAGACCATAAAGACATAATGCATATGTACAATAAAACAAGCACTATAAATTACATTACAACTTTCAATATTGGTACAGTAAAAAGGTGAAAGATAAAGCTATTCCCGTAGAAGTACCGGCCTCCCCAGCGAGAGTGAATGTGCGATGGATCAAAGTGAGGAGTGAACGTGATACAACAGATCGACAAACACTGGATTATGAAATTGTTCGGGATGAACAATCTTAAGAAGGGAGCAGATGTAACGGCCGGAGAATAGTCACTGCAAGAGAAGTAGTTGAACCAAAAGAAGACGCAGACAGCACAGCCTAGAAAGAAAATGAATGGGGTTGCACCGTTAGGCTATTCGGGATGAACAACCTTTAGAAGGGAGCAATGTGACATGGACAGCGCAATGCTCGGTAAACACCCCCTTCCGCGGTGACATAACAGCATTGGGGCAACTGCCACTGCTATGGTAACAAGCCAGTCAACACTCCGTCCCCCTCCCCCGCGGTGTCATAACAGCACTTCCCACAGTGACATAACAGGGGACACCACGGTTACTACGCAACAATAAACAACTCTCGGCAACGTTCCCCAGCAACGCCTGTAAACACGGTGTTTATGCAACAGTGAAGCCATCTGGGTTTTCTGCTGTCTGACTGAGGTTCTATAAGAGTAACTAGATAGGGAGTAACCAGTCAGTTGCAGTCTAGCATTCATTAGAGTGAATGGAATCAGTGGAAGTAATTTTGATACTGCCGATGGCAGTACTTGTGAAATTGTGAATTGTATAAGTGTAGGAGCGAATGTGCAATAAATTCGCTATATCCAATATGTCGTAAAGTTATCTGTCGCGTGATACGCCCAACACATGACAATTTGGTTTCAGAAGAGCTTTATGAACTCGCACATGTCTCGAAGAATAACTGAATTTACGAGTGCATTATACTGCCACATTATTTAGATGGAAAAATTGTTCAAGCGCCTGCTGGCGAGGATGGACGCTGATAGGACTCACAAAGACGAAATACTGAAAAAGATGGATGAATACCAGGCTAAGGCAGACATCGTTTTGCTGGCCATGCAAATGATGGAAACTGGCCACAGGGAGATGGTGGCCGAAATCAAACCCGAAATGGACATAAAGACTATGGCCTGCCAAGAGATGGAGGATCGTCTAGAAGAAAAAGAGCCGACCCCAGTGGACAGGAAACCTGAGGTGGCCCAACAACAAGACGTCCCCATAAATGACACCAAAGTAATGCCGGTCAGAGAACCGAAGAAGAAAAGGTGTAGGGACTGAAATCAGCAAAAAATGAATGAACAGCCCCAGTGTCAGGTCGGGCGCTGAGGAAGACTGGTCATCGTCTGCAGAGGGACGAGCCACCGTGCAAAAGTGGCACGGAAAACACAAACCGACCGGAAAGTGTCCCGCCGTGCAGCAGTGGCACGACGCAGGAGAGATGCTTTCAAGAAGGAAACTACCCAGGGAACCTTCGGATCCCAAAGAAAGGAATTGGCCATCGACAATTGTCAATACCATCTCTGCAAGCAGCCTTATGACGAGTCTCAACCATTGCAAGATGACCATAGCAATAAAAAGAAACCAGCAGTGGGGACTGTTGCACCACAGTCTCGCACCAGCAAGTGGCGGGAAGACCAGGAGGAACAACGACGTCAGCGAGTGCAGGCCACACTGTTACGTCAACAAAGGGAACTTCTCAAGAAAGACTTGATCAAGGATTGGACAGTATGGAGGTGTCGACACCCTCCAAAATGGAAAAGAAAACAATGGATAGAGGAGGAGCCGGTAATGTAGAAGTACCGACCTCCCCAGCGAGAGTGAATGTGCAAAGGATGAAAGTGAGGAGTGAATGTGATACAACAGATCGACGAATGCTGGACCATGGAATTGTTCGGGACGAACAATCTTAAGAAGGGAGCGGATGTAACAGCCGGAGAATAGTCACTGCAAGAGGGGTAGCTGAACCAAAGGAAGATGCAGAAAGCACAGCCTAGAAAGAAAAGGAATGGGGTTGCACCGTTAGGCTGTTCGGGATGAACAACCTTTAGAAGGGAGCAATGTGACATGGACGGCACAATGCTCAGTAAAGAACCCACTCCGCGGTGATATAACAGCATCGGGACAACTGCCACTGCTACGGTAACAGGCCAGTCAACACTCCGTCCCCCTCCCCCATGGTGACGTAACAGCACTTCCCAGTGACATAACAGGGGACACCGCATTTACTACGCAACAATAAACAACTCTCGGCAGCATTCCCCAGCAACGCCTGTAAACATGGCGTTTGTGCAACAGTGAAGCAATCTGGGTTTTCCGCTGTCTGACTGAGGGTCTATAAGAGTAACTACATAGGGAGTAACCAGTCAGTTGCAATCTAGCATTCGCTGGAGTGAATGGAATCAGTGGAAGTAACTGTGATACTGTCGATGGCAGTACTTGTGAAACTGTGAATTGTATAAGTGTACAAGCGAATGTGCAATAAATTCGCTATATCCAATACGTCATAAAGTTGTTTGTCATGTGATACACCCAACACTCAGTGGAAGTAATTGTGATACTGTCGATGGCAGTACTTGTGAAACTGTGAATTGTATAAGTGTACAAGCGAATGTGCAATAAATTCGCTATATCCAATACGTCATAAAGTTGTTTGTCATGTGATACACCCAACACAGTTGGAACCTAGTCGAGACGTCGCAGAAGTCACGTGATACCACAAGCGATACCACAGATTACTGATGAATGAATGAACACCCAACATGTGACAATATTATTTCAATACAATGCAAGTTTTTCCTGACTATAGGACACATGTACTTTTTAAATCACTTTTGAAGATCATATTTAATTCTACCCTGTGAGAAAAAATACCATTATTACTCATGAAAATATAGCATACTGCAAGACTTCATTATTTTCTCCTGCATTCAGCATATAAAATTCTAGTCATAAACTTTTCTTTAACTTCACCCATATCATAATATATTTTCAAAAGATATAACAGCATGTTTCTAAGCTTTATATGGAAGTATGTTTAGACACACTTCAACTGCATGCCACTGAACAAAACAGAAGTCATTAATTTTAAATAACTGCACTTCTTATAATTTCTTGTATCATGCAGTTACACTTATACACAAAAACTATAACAATTTGAAATAAATATAACTCTTAATCTCATAAAGAAATCAGCGACATCTGAGCAGATGTACTACAACCATAAAATAAGAATGTAAAATCAAAATAGCTTTAGGTTTATCATAAATATGTCAAATCGGCTGATTTATATTCATCCACATAAACAAAACATCACACATCTACATATGCCTTAATTCTAAAATATAAGAAGAAAAATTAATTTGCAATATTTTTAAAGGCAGCTACACAAGTCAAGAGCCAAATCCCATACCAACTCATGAAAACCTGAAACAATATATCACTACATTGCAACCAAAATAAATGACTAAAAATATCGCTCACCTTGATGGTCTCACAACTACAATATGACTATCGGGAAAATAAGAATGAAGTAACACGGCAGTGCTTTCCAGATTCCATTTCACATAATTCTTGTTATCTCTATGATTTTCCATGTTCTCAGGAAAGTCCTAAAAATAAACAAAGCCAACAATTAGGTATGGTGTCACTGAGAAGTCAATCTGTTCAATTCTCAGTTTCCTCCTCACTCAATATAAAACTACGCAGGGGTCCAAAATATGTATACACAGTTTAATGGAGGTTATCTACGGCCATTTTCAAAGTTCAACCAGAAAGTAATGTATAGTGCGCAGTGTGATACTCTCTCAAAAGATGGTGCTAGTCACATAAATGCCAGAGCCACTTTATCAAATAGCAGGACAGTCAAGAAAATGGAGGTGGAATGGTTGTCATTTGAGCAATGCAAGATAATTTTGAAGTGGTATTGGAAATCTGAAGATGTATGCGAAGTACAGAAACTGGCAGCATGAACTTGCTATGGAACCTCCAACACGATTTACAACTACATGCATTCATGACAAATTTGAGGATGATGGTACAGTGCATGATGCGTAGAAGCAAAGATCTGGGATGAATGAACAGTTACTGACCCTCTGTACCTCAACATGCTTTGGATATCCATTTTACCTGCCATTCATCAGCTCTATGGGAATGAGCCACTTTACTTTCAACAAGATGGTGCACCACCACATTACTACTGAGACATCAGAAGCTACCTCGATGAGATCTTACAAGGAGAGTGGTTGGGACAAAGAGGTTGTGCTGAGTATCCCCTATGCTCACCTGATTTAGCACATTGAGGACCGGTCGCATGATATCATGCTTTTGGCTTTTAAACGTGGCGGACCGGTCGCATGATATCATGATTTTAGGACATCTTAGGTTGTAACACACTATACCTTGCTCTGGCGCCACTCAAGTTGCACGCAATGGCATAATAAAACTCTGGAATGTTTGCTTACTTGTCAGTAACTTTACCTCGCTGTTTTCTTAACGCACTATAAACGAAAATGCTTTGCTGCTCTTCGAGCAGTATGTACCAGCCAGTAGTTAGTGGTGGTATATGGACAAGGACAAATTCTTCTCCGATGAGCTAGCTGACCTGCCTTGTGAGACATGTAGTAACGGTGATTCAGAGAGCGGCAGTGACGGGAGAACAAAGAATTGTGGCCACAGACAGTAAAAGTGACAGTAGCTCTGACAATAATGGGGGTAATAACATTGCAGTGACAGTAAAAAATCTAAAAATATCACAAAAATCTAAACCCTGATTCGAAATTGAAATACAAAGCATTTCTGATGAATGTGGCAAAGGCCTGGGCTGCAGACCAGATGGTGGCGGCAAAACCAGAGTCAGACACAGACTTAGTGTGACCGGGTGCATCAACTCCCACCCCACACAGGCCTCATGTGGACCCCCCAGGGCGACTCTCGGGTGATATGCGGAAACATACCCTCATGAAAACTGTGAAGAGTGAACATTCCAAGGGGAAGCATACTTCTAGGCAATGCCATGTTTGCACAGTTCACAAAAAAAGGAGTATGTCTACATTTGCAAGTTCTGTGTAATGCCACTTCACAAAGGGGAATGTTTCGAGAAATATCACACCCTCAAGCACTTCTAGGAGCATTGGTAAGTGTTCTCTAAAAATTTTAGTTCATAAAATTAATTAGAAGATTTTATATTAATTTTTAAAGTGAACAGTGCACAAGTTAGGATAGTAGGTTTAATGATGGCAGCCCCAGGGTGATTTAAATATTTAAATCGCCGGTCCGCAATGTTTTAACACCCCTCAACTTTTACTTGTGTCGGTCCCTGAAGGATTTGGTATATCACAGAAAACCACTGATAATGGAGATGTTATGGAAATAAATTGAAACGTCATGTACTGCTATCCAACTTGACACCTTGGCCACAGTTGCTCGTGCACTAATCTGAACTCAGAAGTGTCGACAAGCTAATGGTGGGCACTCTGAACACCTGTTCTATTTCAATATGTTGCAGCCATCCCTTTCTGTGTGTATCAAAGCTGGATTACCAAAAGCAGATACTTTGTATGTTGAATTGTGTATACCTTTTTGGGGCCATCTGTATAAATAACATTCCCAAAAGCAATAAAGACTCTTAATGCAATAAATATCATTATGCCCTGAATACACCATTAGATGGCAGGATGTCATTATTTCCAACTTGATCATTTTAGCAATAAAGGTGAAGTTGAACTTTTGTGCCATGACATTTGTTGTGTGAGCATGATTTGGTGTTAAATGAAATTAGAGGGGAAGGGGGCTTTGAAATCCATTTTCTTCTATTGTCATTTGAAGACAACATTCTCAGTAATCTGTATGATTCTTAAACAAATCCTGCTATGGACAGACCAACAGGTATGTGACGGTGTAGCATTCTGTGTTTAATTCCTGCCTACAGTTGTCTTAACTACTTGATAATCTTTTTCGTGCACCACATGAATGATCCTGGCTTGAAGAATTTTCCACCAGTGTCATAAAAGATATTTTTCCCATGAAAAGAAAAACACATGTTTTTTTTTTCAAAATAGGCAGTTTAAAGGAGCAAAAATAACTGAATATGACAGTGGTTCTCAGAATTTTCTGATTCACAGACAAACATATGACGATATGATAAACCATCTTCACATGTGTAGTAGATAAAATTCCCAGTGGCATTCTCAGCAATTTACCACGCTTACTTGGAACTGATTTGTATCATTATGTCAGAAAAACAAACTTTACTACATAGAGCACACGATATTCAAATTTTGATGGCATAATAATGCACAACACTAAATTTCAACAAAACTTGTAAAATAATTTATGGTATAAATGGAAGAGTTAATTTATCTGCTTATGTAAAATAGATTTTGTAATCAGTTGATCTGATTAAAAAACGAAATGGTCACCTAAACAGATCACTATGACTAAAAATTTGAACTGAGTGATAATTTATAGGGAGTCTCTCATGTCAAGGGGTGGGGGACATGTCCAAGAATTTGGGCTCTGATATTAGGTCACAGATAAACAGACATGACCTCCACATACAACATTCTACTTTACTTTGTAAGGAATGCATAATGAGAAAATAGGATAAAAACCAGTGTATTCACTGTGTGACACAATGCAGAGACATTTTCAAGATTCGACCTCAGATGTCACTGAGGACATTGGAACAACTGTGTCTGTAATTGTCTGATATTAACACAAATTAAATATGTCAAACTCTCCACTGTCAAATCTTGAAAAAATCTGTGCTGAGGTTCTTGGGCTGTTAAATGAAAAGAGACAGACAAAGACATGGAGACGTCGATAAGTGGATTTTTGAAACTTTCACCGTGGATGTGTCAAAAACAAATATTACAACAAACCTGCACATCTCCACCAAAAAACACAACTGCCATATCTTGCTCAGCTCTTACAGAAGGATGGCAATAGACAACATCATTAATTCGTCCATCATAGCCAGTGACACCACACAAACGAACTGGGCAGGCTGGAGGGGGTGTACCCAGCATCCTCCCCTAACAAAGCATAATAAAATTTCATTATCAAGCATATTCAACATGCTCACCACACTACAACACATTCCAATGACCACCATAGTCCCCTGGAACGTATGTATGCAACATTACAGATAAATATATGACCAATCACTCAAGAAGGTTCACAGTAAGAAAACATGGTTGTCATTGGACTTTTAAATTTTAAAGTTTTAATTAACTGTATTGATATTGTCAATCATTTTATAACTCAATTTATTTTAATTACATTAGTATTTTAATCTGTCTCAATTTATAATGGTAGAAATCCCTGTTAAACAGCATATGAAATCTTTATCACACATATACGTAGTGTGTCTCCTTTAGAGCATGGGCTTTGGATTCTGATGATGGCCGAGTGGTCAGAATAGGTAATGGCTTTTTAAATATTAAACTGTTGCACCTGACAGAACCTTGATACTTATTCATTTGAAAGTGTGACGGCTCGAAATGTCTCTTATAAAGAGTGAAAATAATAAAATATTTAAATTGCAAAAGAAAACCCTTTCAATAATTAGTGGTGTCATTTATCATACATCAGGCAGACAAATATTTAAAGACTATAATATTGTAACGTGTTTCCGTTACTGAAGACGCCGTAGAGATGGTTAATTGGTTTATTTAACAATCTACAAATAACGGCTACAATTACTTATCTCACANTGGTTACTGATCCCACTTCTGACACTTCTGCCTTTTTTATACATACTAGAAGTGATATGTTTTATTAAAAAACATAAAATTCTATAGCAAAAAATATGGACATCCATAATCATAATATGTGAAAAAATTAAATTTCTATGTGTAACATGGTAATACAGTCCTCTTTAATAAAAGGTGTGATAAATATGGGTATCAGTTTCTCAATAAGGTTCCAGATCAGATAAAATTAAAGGAAGCTTTTAATTTATTTAAAAAGGACTTATATTTGATAACTTGACTTGTTCTATATCTGAAGGCTGCATTGCCAAATAAGGATTTCTGGAACAAATAAAGATTAAGATTATGATTTGGCAATAAATTTCATTTGGTGGAACTGGCGGGTAATGAGTTTCATTACAGTTAAACCTTGCAGAGAATAAATTATAGTCTCAACTCTCAAGTATTATCATAATTCTAACTGCTCTATCTTCTATTTTTTTTTCTTTGTGGCATCTCATCATTCTTCAAAATCTCAATGTATCTGCTTTCAATAATTCCCATCAAGCACTTGTCTACATAAAACAACATAATCATATTTCATTATACAATGGTATTAAAACTACAAAACAAATAACTCTGACTTTTGGGAATGACATACATAGACCACATAAATTGAAAAACTGAATTAAGCTTGAAACTAAAATATGAGAACTAATTTTAAAGATACAAAAACCCAGAATTATATAACATATTAACACTGGACCAAAATATCCTAAGAAGAAATAATCAAGCCTGCAGGACATCTTCTGCATAATAAAGTTTTCGAGGGAGAGAAAAAGAAAAATGTAGCATCCAAAATTACCCTACTGTAACCTATGTAAATTTTAAGTCATAAGAATGTACTCACATTGTAGGTTTCTTATCCCCAGAACATCTAAAATGATGAAATTATTACATAAATTGAAACCGTGCAAACAGTAGGAATGACAATGCATCCAGATCCTATATCCTCAACCCAAAGACACATCGATAATGGGCCTGCATAACCTGGTAATATACAATTAGGGTGTGGAACTGCACAATGTTCCCATTTAAAATAATTTGAGAAGTGGAGCCCAAATAATAAGAGCACACTAGAAACAAAAAAAAATTACAATATGATACTTACTAACTTTCTGGTACTATCTTGTGTCCAACAGTGGAAAAATGAAACAAAACAGGTGAAATACTGGTTCCACGTTCTTATTCTAATCATCCAATCATTTTATTTCGATGTGGTGGGTCGCCAAATGATTCAAGCCACATCTGCAAGGAATTCATACACGTGATATGTAGTAATCAGGTCTGTCTCAGCTGCTATTAAGTCTGTAAAAATTTATATTCAAATCATTATGAATTCATAATCCCTGTAATTCAAGGTACAGCTTTAAAATAAACACTGGAGACTTATATTAGTGGTAACATTTGTGTTCACAAAATTTCAACAGTTAAAACTGCAAAATATATAAATAGTTGTTTTCGCCAAAAAGGATTAATAACACAAATTTCAAATCTTACTCTGACATGTAACTGACAATAATTGTTTATGTACACTGGAATAGTACTTACCAGTCATGAGTGTCATCCGCACTAAGAGAGTCAGATTAAAATTTAAGTAAACCAAAAAATGTTTCATTCAGGTAAATAATATATAATTCAATTAGATAATCATGTAACAATAATAATACAGGGCTCCAGGCATTGAGAGTCACCCACCCATAATAGCAATACACAACTCTGTGAAAAGCTGAGAGTGCAATACAGAAGGAGTGCCATGGCACACATGCACTATTTTACAGCATTTTAAAAGTTCCAAAAATAATTTACATATTAGATTTTCATATGCACCAAAAATTGGTTTAAATAATCAATTTTTCATACATACAGCCCTAACGGGCTATGTACAGTAAAGTGTAACAATTTACGCGAATCATCATATATACCTGATAATGACCCTGTGACTGAAATACATAGGTTGGATAAAAAGTAGTGGCAACAACTCTATAGTTCTGAAATGACTTTATTACCTGAGGTAAACACACTTACATTCCTTCAATATAATCGCCCCCCCCCCCCCATGTGTACCAACTTCTGCCAAATTTGTGCAAGGCGTCGTACACCATCAGTGCGTCCAATTCCGTTGATGTCCAAAAGTGACTACCCTACAGCACGAATAATCTTCTCTCTTGTGTTGTAAAGTCACCCTGGCAGTGGTTTTTTTACTTTGGCAAAGATATCATAATCGCACAGAATCATATCAGGTGAGCATGGCGGATGTTGTAGTATCTCCCATCGCCAGCAGCGAAGGAGATCCTTGACAGCGTCAGCAGAATGAGCCCCTGCATTGTCACGAAGGATGATGGGGTTCATTGCCAACAAGTGTTGTCACTTTCTCCTGAGTGCTGGACGAAGATGATTATGCAGGAAACTGCAGTAGTACGTAGTGTTTACTGTCTGTCGTTGAGGTACAGTGTCTGTCCTGAATGGCAACCCTCCCTTCATAGAACTATTTCACCCATTGTGTCACTGTGCAATATGGCACAGCAGCATCACCACATGCTTCTCACAGTCCCTGATAACAGTTTTGTGCACTACAACCTCATGCAACTTCAATTTTTATCCAGGAGCGTTCTTCTTGTCTTGCAAACATGTTCCTAGGGCACTTGAACTGGGCTCCTGCACTTTAAGATGATGCATAATGCAACTCAATGAAACACAACCAGAACCACTCACTGCACTACTTCAACTGAACTTCTGCTATCAGCTACAGACGGCGCTAGTGCCACTTGATGCACATCTTTCATGTTACAGCAGTGTTGCCACTACTTTTTATCCAACCCTTGTATATTGTACGAGGGTCGTACTGAAAGTCATGAGAAACAATTTTTTGTGAAGTAACATGATTTATTATTGACAAACCAAATACACCACCTCAATCTACAGACATTTCTTTATTTTTCCACATAATCGCCACTTCTTTGTACACATTTCTCCCAACATTCTGGGAGTCTGAAAATTCCCCTTCTGTAAAATTCCGTTCCAGCCATCCAAAGACACTGACGCACTGCTTTCCAAATTGCCTCCCTTGTCTCAAAACGTCCACACAGCTGATCCTTCACAAATCTGAAAAGATGGTAGTCAGAGGGTGCCAGATCAGGGCTATAGGAGGGGTGTGGAAGAACTTCCCACCCCATATTTGCAATTGCTTCCAATGTGAGGCGAGCGGCGGGGGGGCGAGCGTTGTCATGCAGGATGATGATGTTTCATCCCAGACGTTTATCGCGCAATGCACGATGGAGCTTGTGCAGCGTCTGGACATAAGAAGCAGCATTGATGGTTTGCCCAGATTCCATGAATTTGGTCAGAATAAACCCCTCTGCATCCAAGAAGACTGTGCCCATCACCTTCACAGCTGATGACACTGTCTTTGCCTTCTTTTTTTATGGAGAATGCAAATGGTGCCATTCCATACTCTGCCGTTCTGTTTCGTTTCAGGCTCGAAATGGTGAAACCAGCTTTCGTCACCTGTCACAAATCAGAGCAAAAAATCATCGCTTTCGTGTCGATATCTCTGCAGCAGTTCTGAGGTGATGGCTTTTCGCTGACCTTTGTGGTCTTCGGTCAATAACCGCGGGACCCAACGAGCACAAACTTTCCTATAGCCCAAGATTTCAATCATCTCCTGTACTGCACTGTGCCCTATTCCAAGTTTTCAGGCTATTGTGTCCACAGTCACACGCCTGTAATCTTGAATGATCTTATCGACTCTTTCCTTGTTGTGTTCAGTTGAGGCTGTTCAAGGACAACTGTTCCGAGGCTCATCTTTGATGCTTGTGTTACCATCTTTAAAATGTTTCACCCATCTTCGAACAATGCTTGCACCCATGCACACACTTCCATAAGCACGCTGAATTCTCTGGTGAATTTCTGCAGCAGGGATTTCCTGTTTCACAAGAAATTCGATGACAGCATGCTGGCGAAAAGACATATCGTTGTTGGCCAGTTTGTCAGGAATGATACTGGTCACATGATGCAAGCTATTGACGTCACAAGACACTTAAGATTAACACAACAGCTGGTTCCATCTACCACCGTACTCTCTTTTGTCTGCTGTTGCCAGGTTGCATGAAAAAAAAAGATGATCATGGCTTTTGGTATGACCTAAGTATATACAGCAAGTGATTAAAATGGTGCAGAATGCTTAAATACAATACCACAATGACAAGTGTAAAAATAGCAAGTGCCTGAGGGATTTTTGTTCACTCACCTTCAACATAAAAAGTGTGAAAATAACCAAGATAAAAGAAGAAATGTCCATTCACTACACACTATAATTCATTCCTATTACCACAAAAAAAAGTTACAGCAAATGGTCTGTGCATCCTGCCTGTTGATCATTGTAAGTGAATGTCTAGCATTTCTGTTTTATATTCAGGAGGTTCTGCATTCATATGTGTGCTTGGAGGTTGGCTATAGTTACTGAGGTCTTTGGGGTTTTGCAAATCCCTCCAGGTAAATTCCATAATAGTACATAAAAAATAGACCACAACCACTTCCTTCCATACCTTTCCAATTACATCGATTATAAATCAGCTGAGAAAAAACATTCCTGTTTAGATTACAAAGTGGCACAGTAACAGATGCTGCATTAATGAAAAGAGAGCACTGGACAATTAGTTATCTGGTTGCACCAAGTCTATTTTATCTACATAACTAATTAACTCCTTGGAGAAGTCCTTGAAAAACTAACAGTCGCTCAGTTAGCCACGAAATTCCTTGCCTCTTACAGAACCCAAAGTACAGACTGTGTTCAAAAGAATTTTCCACTGATTCATATTTTGAGCTAGATCAAGATTGAACACATTCTGACACATTTCTTCAATATTCATTTTAATATCAACCCCCCATCTCCCAAGTGGTGTCTTCCCTTCAGATTTTCTAACCAAAATCAGGTATGCATTTTTTGCTGCTTCTACATGCTTCTATCTCTCATTCTTGATCTGATCATCTGAATAGCTTTTAGGTCTCTTGTCACCAAGGCATGATTCACTAGTGGTTACTTAGGCATGACATCTTCAGGATGTGGATGGAGAAAATGATGGCCTCTACACAGAGGGTACCTGTGAATATACTGAACAAGCAGTCACACGCAGCTGGTGATCCTCATGCTTCGGGGTTAGATAAGAGACTCAGTGTCAAATATTGCGTGTTAAAAATTCCACACATGGCCCTAGACTTGACAGATTTGTGGGATGCCACTGCATGTACAGACAACGATTTATTAAACTATCATATAAATATTCATTGTAGCTGTACAGAATACACAAACTTTTGTTTGAAGAATTTAAAGTCACTGGTTGCTGACAAGCAGGGCGAAGAATAATACAATAATAATAAAAAGTCAAAGTCACACTGTGACTGAGGGTCAGTCAGTCTAGGCATCAAGCCCCACCTGGGGCTGATGGCCAGATATTTATTACTGGTTGACAGCTACGGTCTTTTTTTTTTTTTGTGGGACGCCCTCTCTGACGAAGGAGCTGTTGAAGCGTGCAGGGAAATGTACGTGGCATCCGGAGCGTGTAGTATGTGCAACGGATGGTGGTGGCGCGGCATATGGTGCTGAGGCCGGGGTCGCGTCGGCTAAGGGGTTGCAGGTGGTGGTGGTCCCGCGGCCGGTCTCATTCAGCATGTAGGCCGGCTTGAACCTATCGGTTGACACGTTGACAGGCCTGCCGCGCACGAGGATTTGCAATGTTTTCTCTCTCCATGGTAGGACCAGGTATGGTCCACTGTAGGGGGACTCAAACGTTCTGCGCGTTGCATCGTGGCGGGGAAAGACGCGTGTGCACTTCTCGAGATCGCTGTGCATGAATGTAGGGGAGGAAGAGTGGCTTGTTGCCGGAATCGGTGTGAGGCGGGCCATATGCTGGCGGAGCTCGGTGATGAGGTGCACTGGATCTACTGGGTCGGTGGTCGGAGTCAGTAAACTCGCCAGGGATTTTTAGAGGCTCGCCATATACGAGTCCTGTAGGTCCTCCGTTAGCTGCTGAATGATGGGCGGTGTCCGTGAGAGTTGAATACCACAGAGCTTGGCCAGGGAGTGGAAGCACTGAGATTCAAATTGACGTCTCTGGTCGGTGGTAACGGTCTGCTGGCAACCGAAGCGGGATACTCAGCCGGTCAGTTGGGCGCGTGCCACTGCGTCGGTTGTGATGGCCAGGGTGCGGATGACTTCTGGCCAGCAGGCGAAAGGGTTGGCTGAAATA